GAGCCCGACGCGGGGCTCGAACCCACGAACCGCGAGATCATGACCTAAGCGAAAGTCGGACGCTCAACCGACTAAGCCACCCGGGCGCCCCAAAATAATTTATTTTCAAACTTGAGTCCACTTTTCTGCGTTTGGAACGGCCTTTCCTCCTTCACTTGCACATTGGTAACAGAGGGAGAGATTCGACGTGCTTGAGATGGGCTTGCATGCACCTGGTAGGGTAGGCGAATATCAAGTTTACATGCCGAAGGGTCTCATTTTATAAACCTGTAACTTCTTTTCAGGAGGAGGCAAAACAGATTCAGAATCTGCAGAAAGGAAGCACTCGCGCAGATTCGAGGGAGGATGAGATCTCTCCTCCTCCCCCCAACCCAGTGGTTAAGGGCCGGAGGCGACGGGGCGCCATCAGTGCCGAAGTCTACACGGAGGAAGATGCCGCGTCGTATGTTAGAAAGGTAGTTACTCTAGCTGCACATTGGGCAGTGTTTCAGGGCCCGCGGGCTTTGGCAGCCGCCTTTGGTGGAGGCGTGCACTGTTTTGAAGAGTAGAACGTAGGATGATTGTACTTCATCCCGAGCAGCTTTTGGGTACCGGGGAACGGGTAGTGTGATGACGCACCATTAGAGGAGAGAACTCCTAATGATTGTGAAACAGCGAACGATTGTATTTGGGGGTGGGGGGTTCTTTCCCATGTTGCCTTGCAGTAGAAGAAGCAGGCAGTGTTTTTTCTCTTGTACTATGGTTTGTTTTTTGACATCCTGTAATTCGCGTTGTGACTTTTAACCTTTTGTTCTGGAAGCTTCGTTCCTCCTTTTGGCTCTTCCTTAGGTCTAGCCTGCCATTTTGAGTGATGCTGTTAGCCTGAAGGGGGAAGAGACGGTCCTGACAAGAGGGTTGTGAAGCTAGTAGTACATGATCACAGTTCAAAACATGACCAACTGTCATAAAATGCTGAGTTTTGCCTCAGAATGATGACTTTGGTCAAGGGGTTGTGATTTGTTACTTTAGTTGTTGACTGGAAACCAAATATGAGCCTTAGATAGGCTTGGTTGTAGGAAAAGGGGATTCGTGAGTCAATATTTACTGAGTACTTTGTAGATCACCGAAGATAAAATGGGTTGTGTTAAATACATACAGCAGTCTCGATGAACTACCTTAGCATGTCTTGACCTTTAATTGAAATGCATGTTCAGACCTGATCTGGTTTGGGTTTATGGAATTGTCATTGGGCCTTCTGTTCTTTTCCAGGTTATACCGAAAGATTATAAGACAATGGCTGCTTTAGCCAAAGCCATCGAAAAGAATGTGCTCTTTTCACATCTTGATGACAATGAGAGAAGGTAGGTTCAGGTTCTTTGTTCTACTGTTTTTTCAGTACAGCTCTGGTCTGGTCTCCTCATTGTTGCAAGTTTTAATAGTTGTTCACCTGATGACGGTCCAGGCTGAAGATCTGGGAGCTTTAAGTCTAAAGTTAGTGTTTGAAATTCATAGAAGATGCACATGAGATGTAACCTGAGACCTTGTGTGTCTTGCAGTGATATTTTTGATGCCATGTTTCCGGTTTCCTTTATTGCTGGAGAGACCGTTATTCAGCAAGGTAAGGGCTGCCGCTTCCGTGGCCTGCGGTGCTCTGGGACTGCACAAGTTTTTCAGAAGTGTGTTTCCTTCTTTCAGCCTCCCATTTTCCTTCTGTTACACTGCTAGGTTTCCGCTTTGCTTTGCTTTGCTTTTCTCTTTTCTCTTTTCTTTTTTTTTCCTCCTCTCCCCTCCCCTCCCCTCTTTTTTTGAGTATAGTTGACAATGTTACATTGGTTTTTGGGGTACAACTCACTGATTTGACAAATTGATACATTACGTCGTGTTCACCAGGGTTGTGGTGCCGTCTGTCCCTTTATACGGTGTCATTGACTGAATTCCCTAGGCTGTCCCTTTCTTTTCTGTGACTTAACTGGAAGCCTGTCCCCCTTCTCTGTGCCCTTTTGCCCTTTCCTCCTTCCCCTTCCCCCTTGGCGGCCATCAATGTGTTCTCTGTATGTATAGGCCTGATTCTGCTTTTCATTTGTTTGTTCATTTGTGTATGTGTGCTTTTTTTTTTTTTTTTTAAGATTCTACTTATGAGTGGAGTCATAGGATATTTGTCTTTCTCAGTCTGACTAATTTTACTTAGAATAATGCCCTTTAGGTCCATCTGTGTTGTTGCAAATGGCATGGTCTTCTGCTTGTTGTTTTCATGGCTGTATAATGTTCCATTGTTGTCCTCATCCATTCATCTGTGGATGGGCACTTGGGTTACATCTGTATCTTGGCTGTTGTAAACAGGGCTGTATGTGTCTTCTCAATTCGTGTTTTCATTTTTTGGTGGTAAATAACCAATAGTGGAATTACTGGATTAGTGGTATTTCTATTTTTAACTTTTTTCAAATAGTTTAATGTATTCTAATAGTAAACTTAACATGAACAGCACAGAAGATAGACAACATTAAAAACATGTACTTGATGTAGGACAATGCAAAGTTGTCGAATCGAATCTACTGTCTGATGAAAATGCTACAAACACTATTTAGTTGCTGTCGATATACTTGTTTTAAGAAAATCCAAAGGTTGGCATTGTCCAGAAAAATGTAACCGGTTTATTTATTATCATCACAAAGTTGAACTGCTGAAACGTGTCCACTGAGACATTCTGACTTGCATTGATGCTTTATGTCCCCGCATTTATATTAAAAAATCACACACAGGGGCGTCTGGATAGCTCGGTCAGCTAAGTGTCCGACTTTGGCTCAGGCTAGGATCTCACAGTTCATGAGTTCACGCCCCGCGTCAGGCTCTGTGCTGACAGCTCAGAGCCTGGAGCCTGCTTTGGATTCTGTGTCTCCAGGTCTATCTGACCCTTCCCCCCCTTGCGCACACTCTGTCTGTCTCTCAAAAATAAATACTAAAAAAATGATAAAATAAAAATTCACACACAAATGAAAATGGAAAAACTGCCAGTACTTGATTTTTTGTCTATTTTCCTACTTGCAAGCATATATTCAGGTGCCTTTTGATCCCATGGAAAAAAATATCTAATGTTTAGAACTACTAGTAACAGGAAGGAGAGAAAGTTTTTGGTGTTTTTTTTTTGAATGAAACCGTTTCCATCTTCGTGGATTCTGAGGCACGCTCTCCACGTGTGCGGCGTGCTAGCTGCATGTCTTGCCATAATCACGTGACCGGTTTGGGACGGATGGCATGGAGGTTGGGGTCTTCAAAGAGGCCCACCAGGAGCTGCGAAAGCCTCACTTGCAAGGCACCAGTAGCTGCAGTCTGGAAGCGCAGGTCTGTTTTGAAGTCCTGAGCAGGTTCTCCCACCTGACGCTGGAAAGGAAGTTTGCCAATCAGAAGTTCAGTGGACTTCCGATAGCCTCATAATGTCACCCTGGTCACCCTGGGCCTCAGCACCAGGCCTAGGAGGAGGAGGTTTCTTCGCCCCTCCAGTAGAGGGCGCGATTGTGTACCTGGTGGGGAAGCCCTGGCGGTCGCTGGGTAGGAGCCGTGGTACACAGACCTCCTCACTTAGCCCTCTTTTCCTGCTGGAGCTGAGCAAGCTAGAGGCGCGTGGGAACACAATTCTGTTTCCGCTTTCTGAGAAACTTCCATAAGGTTTTCCCCAGAACTGTACATACGTACCAATGGTAAATGAGGGTTCCTTTTTCTCTGCATCCTTCTCAGTGCTTCTTATTTCTGGTCATTTTGGTTTTAGCTGTAATAACTGGTGTTTGGTGGTATGTCAGTGTAGTTCTGATTGGCATTTCCCTGACGATCAGTGGTGGTACACATCTTTTCATTGGCCTGTTGGCCATGTGTATGTCTTTGGAAGAATGTCTGTTCAGATACTCTGCCTAGTTTTTAATCAGATTGTGGTTTTTTGAGTTCTTTATACATTTTAGCTATTAACCCCTTACTGGATATATGAGTTGCACATATTTTCTCTCATTCAGTAGATTATCTTTGTGTTGATGGTTTCCTTCGCTGCGGAAACTTTTTTTTTTTAGTATATTTATTTTGAGAGAGAGAGAGAATCCTAAGCAGGCTCTAGCCTGTTAGCCAGAGCCCGGTGGGGTGCTCGATCTCAGGACCCCGGGATCATGACCTGAGCCAAGATCAAGACATTCAGATGCTTAACTGACTGAGCCACCTCCCAGGGGCCCCTGCAGAAGCTTTTGATTTTGATGTAGTCCTTCGCCTATGGAGACCTATCTATAAAACTGTTGCTGTGGCTGATGTCAGAGAAATGCTGCCTGTTTTCTTTTATAGGATTTTTATGGTTTCAGTTCTCACATTTAGATCCTTAATCCATTTGGGGTTTATTTTTGTGTTTTATGTTAGAAAGTAGTCCAGTTTCACTCTTGTGCATGTAGTATCCCGTTTCCCCAGCGCCTTTTGTTTTCCCCATTGTGTATTCTTGCTTCCTTTGTCATATGTTAATTGACCATATACTTATGTGTTTATTTCTAGTCTCTGTTCTGTTCCATTGATTGTGTGTCTCTTTTGGTGTGAGTACCGCGCTGTTTGGATTACTAAGCTCTGTAGTATATCTTGAAATCTATCTGCTATTGTGATACCTCCAGCTTTGGTTTTCTTTCTCAGGGCGCAAATTTTATTATTATTTCTTTTGGTTTTGTGAAACATGGTGTTGGTATTTTGATAGAGATCATACTGAGTCTGTGGATTGCTTTGGGAGATAGGGACATTTTAACATTACCTCTTTCAGTCTTACAACCATGGGATAGTTTTCCGTTGTCTTTGTCATCTTTCATTTCTTTCATTAGTGATTTATAATTTTTAGAGTACAGATCTTTCACCTCTTTGGTTTATTCCTCAGTAGTTTATTTCTTTTTGGTGCAGTTGTAAATGGTGTCTATTTTTTAAATTTCTCTTCCTGCTACTTTGTTACTAGTGTATATAAATGCTATTGATTTCTGACTACTAATTTTGTATCCTGCCACTTTACTGAATTCGTGAATTCTAGTAGTTTTTGGTTGGAGTCTTTAGGATTTTCTGTGTATAGTGTTGTGTTGTCTGCAGATAGTGATAGTTGAAACTTCTTACAATCTGGATGCCTCATTTTTTTTTTCTTTCCTTTCCTTGATTGCTGTGGCTAGGACTTCAGTTCTGTGTTGAACAAAAGTGGTGAGAGTGGACATCCTTGTTTTGTTCCCGACCAGAGAGGGAAAAGCTCTCAGTTTTTCACCATTGATTCTGATGTTAGCTGTTTGGTTTTTGTATATGCCTTTTGTCACGTTAAAGTATGTTCCCTTAAAGTTAATACCTAGTCTCCTCAAGCTATTCCAAAAAATAGAGGGGGAAGGAAAGCTTCCAAATCCATGCTACAAGGCCTCCATTACCCTGATACCAAAACCAGACAGAACCACCACAAGAAAAGAAAACTATGGGCCAGTATCACTGAGAACATAGATGCATAAATCTTCAACAAAATATTAGTGTTCAGCGATACATTTAAAAAGTTCATTCATCACAATCAGGCAGGATTTATTCTAAGGATGCAAGGATGGTTCAATATTTGTAAATCAATCAGTGTCCCACATCAACAAAACAAGTGATAAAAATTGTATGATCATCTCAGTTGATCCTATTTCTTTTTTAAATTAAAAATCCTTTGGGCTAAAGGTACACTTCCACTAAAGGACTTCTGTTTTCTCTGGTATCTGATACAGCCTTGTTTATAGTAAGTTTTAAAGGATATTGCATTTTAATTTTGAATGTTATGTGAGATTTCGGAACCATACATCCTTCATATATCCTTTATATTATTAACCACTTACAGAGTAAAATAAAGTAGGAAGTAGCAAAGCACTTGTGTTCCTAATCACATAGCCCATCTATTTATAAGATTCTGTGCCTGCTACTGATTTTTACCTTTTTCCCTTATATATTAACACGGGTCTAACTTTATGGGTATCCCTCCCCCGCTTTCTTTTATTTATTCTTGATATTTCCTGGGTCCTCATAATTGGTGAGTTTTGCAGTGTAGTGACAGTCTGACATTTTGTTACTTACTCTGTTTTTTGTCTTGTTTTGTTGTTGTTGTTGTTGTTATGATCATGTAGCAGGTACTATCTTGGTACACATACAGCTTTTTTTTTTTTTTAAGTTATTTTTCAGAGTTATTCTTTAGCATGAGATGACTAAAACAGTTGATCAGTTTTTTGGCTTCAAAATTATATTGTGGGACTTTTCTTCCCGAAAGAAAGTGTGTTAGTTTATAACACACTTTCTCTGACAGCATCTCTGGAAAAATAAATTTATTTTTACATTAATTTGATAATTCTGATATGTTTCTTTAATTTGCATTATACATCTAACTTTCTTTACTCTGTTTTAGGTGATGAAGGGGATAACTTCTATGTGATTGATCAAGGAGAGATGGATGTAAGATTTAATAATTGCAGAAATATGTTGATAGTCTTAAAAGTTAATGTGTTGATACGAATTACTTTTAAGCGCTTCTGAAGGGCTATTAAAATCCCCATAAGTGCTTCTGTAGGGCTGTTAAAATCCCCATATGCCAGACTCCACCAACATCTTTTGCCAAATATATTAATGACACAGAGAAACTTTTTAACCTATTAAAGGTAATTTCTTTACCTGGACATTCAGTTTAAGGCTTTCACTGGAGTCCTGGTTCAAGCGTGCGTGTGTGCTGTGTGGTGAGGTGGATGTGAGGGAGACCTGGGCGTTAGCTCTGAGACCTGGTCCAGCTCCCTTGATTCTGTTAATCTTGTTTACAAGGGAAATGGGCAAAACAACAGCTTTGCTGTCACAGGATTACTAGACAGTTCGGTGCCTTCTGCAGCTGAGATATTGAGTGTAGTACCCGGCACAGCGCTCTCTAAATGTACAAGCTGTTCATGCTTTGCTTACCTTTGCCCCAATCCTCCCGCTGGGGAACATTTTCGTGTCTGGTAATTCAGCCCGGAAAATCACAGACACTCGTGATTTATTGAACTCCTTAGTAGACATCAGCTGTTTTGCCCTGCTCTGTATACTACAGACATAGCGCGTTCTCTCGTGTGGAACCAAGTTCCGTGTTCTGATTCCTCACAAGGTGTTTTATCAGTCAGTGTTTGTGTGTGTCGGAAAAAAACCGATTCTTTGTCATTTGCCTTTTAGGTCTACGTCAACAACGAATGGGCAACTAGTGTTGGGGAAGGAGGGAGCTTTGGGGAACTCGCTCTGATCTATGGAACGCCTAGAGCAGCCACTGTCAAAGCAAAGACGAATGTGAAATTGTGGGGTATCGACCGAGACAGCTACAGAAGAATCCTCATGGTGAGCCCCAGGGCTTTTGGAGTATGATGTATGATTCCGGTCTGTCACTGCGCTTGAGGAATACCCCCAGGCCTCGTAGAGCAAGCGTCCGGCTAGCAGCGGCAGGGGACACCAGTGTGGTGCGTCTGTGGTGGCCAGCCCACGTTTGCACACGTCTCATTTGCATTTCAGGGAGCTCAAGAGGTGCTGCTTCTAAGAGCATGAAGCGCCTGAAGGTTGGAGGTCGGAGGTCACCACCTCCCTAAACTGCAGGGGGGTTGTCAGCAGTGCAGATGTCCCCTCGCGAGACTGGACGAGTAAACAAAATAATAAAGCCATCAGAACATTCTGCTCACCTAGAACTTTGTGACAGATTTATAGAGTAGCTCTAGATGTGAAGCACCAGCTGCCTGCCCTTGTCCTCTTGAATTTGTGCAGTGCCTGTCCGGCCGTTTGACCGTCTGCAGTTGGATGTACTTTGAATATTTTCTGTATTTGGCGGATGTGTATGTATAAATAGACACATATGTGCGTGTAAGGACATTCTAGAGGACTGTGTTTCCCCCCGTCCTCCCCCCAGATACACGGTATTTAACAAACCTTACAGGTAAGACAGCTTGGTGAAGTTAGGGGTTCGGGTACTGCTTTTGGTAGGAGGTCTGGAGGTGGTAGCAGTTTTCTGTCCCTAGTTCTGTGGCAGATCGGGGTTGTGCAGGAGAACCCAGGGCCGGAGACATGTTCTGCTGTTGTCACACTCGTAACTTGGTAGATTTTTTGGAGAACTGATGAAACTTGGCATTTCGTTAATTGGTTGTCCTAGGCACCTTCTTGGGCCCGTATGCATGGTGTTACTCTTAAGAGCGAGTTACGAAGTTCTTTATTAGGCTGAACCAGAGGCTTTACCATCTTCAACATGAAGAAACTCACTGGTCAAGAAGTGGCAGCAAGCTTTGACTTCTTTGTTGTTGTTTTTTTTTTAAGTTTATTTAACACTTAATATTTCTTATTCCACAGCATTATGTGATAATTACACATTTTTGAGATCACTTTTTTTTTTCCCATTTATAGGGAAGCACGCTGAGAAAGAGGAAGATGTATGAGGAGTTTCTTAGTAAAGTATCTATTTTAGGTGAGTTTTGGAAGATCACACAGAGAATTGTTAAATTGAAGTGTTAATATACTAATTTCTTAAAAACTGCCCTGATTACCAACTCACTTTTTTTTTTTTTTTTGCTAACAATAATGAAAAATACAAAGTTGAAGTTTGACCAAGTTAGAAGTAATTTTACAATGTATTTAATCTGCTAGTGTATGACAGACCTCTTTACTAGTGGTGGGTGTGGGAGAAGCTTCCTGGAATTATGTGCTGCTCATTCCTCTGGGAGAGACAGAAAGGCTAAAAGTGTCCTTCTTTGATGATGGACATTGACAGTCATTCCCCCTCTGATTTCTGTCTCTGTTGCTCCATGGGTGAGTTGACTGGTTCAGGAGAGAGTTGAATATTTCCAAGAATGCCTTTACTCTGTAGAAAAATTAGGTGTCATTTTCTGACCTCTGAAGAAGTGCTGGAAGTTTGTTGAAGTTGAGTAAAGCAGGTTAACCTGGAGCAGCTGTGTGTATTTTGTCTCCTGGCCTCACAGATACTGTCCCAGCCTGCGCTTCTCTGGGAGGTGGGCAACGGTGGCTCTTAGGGAATAGTCTTCTGCCACTGTTTTGTCACAGCGAGTTGACTTTTTCCCCTTATTTGTCCTTTCTCTGAAAGGGTTGCGTTTACTTAATGACTTGGGTTTTAGTTTGGCTTTTGGGAACTCTTGTCTTGTTCTCATGGATTTCATAGATAAATTCAACTTAAGATTTAAATAGGTTAAGTTATTTCTGTGAACCTCTGGAAAAGTACAGATGGCAACACTATCTTTGACTTTTGGGTCTTGCAATTGTAGGTTTGATTTGCATTGATGGTGTTCTTTAGGAAGACTTAATGATTCCATTTTTTTATTCATTTACCATTGGGTGCAATTGATAGAGATTAACCTGGTCACTGGACTACTGAAGTAAGCATCTAAGGGTCATCTGTAAGTAATAGGAGGACCTTGTGGAGACTCGGGGTAATTGAAGAGAGGCTCCATGTTGAATCTGCAGCACTACTAGAATATTAAATGGGCATGGCTATTTGATTCATGCTTTTTACAGTTTTGACATTTTTAGCAGTGACAACTAGTGTAGAGAAATTCTTTGAATTCTTGCCTTTCAGAATCTCTGGACAAGTGGGAACGTCTCACAGTGGCTGATGCATTGGAACCCGTTCAGTTTGAGGACGGGCAGAAGATTGTGGTGCAGGGAGAGCCCGGGGACGAGTTCTTCATTATTTTAGAGGTAAAGGAGCCTGTGTGCGATCCTTACTGGGGGGGAGAAAAGTAGAACACCGTGAGGGAGAGAAAAGGGGCTAATGCTGATTTCCAGCTTCGTGTTTTAGGAATACCTGACAGTTTTATTTAAAACTTCTCTTTCGCTTTGAAGCGGTGGTGTTTGGTGTTCTGCCAGGCCACCATATTTTAACTGAGCTGGAATCCATTCTGGAAGGACTGTTTAAGAAGTAGTAGCCAAATTCTGGCCTACTCAGTCATTTATCATGCAAGCCAAATGAAACTTAACCATTTAGCAAAACAAGCTAGTATGGCTCCGCACCATCCTTTTTAAAATCGTATGTTTGGACCATTTGGCAAATGAGGGTTAGAGGCAGGCATTTACATGCTGAAAGCAGCTCTGGTTTCTCTCTTCACAATTCGCAGAGCACATACTCTTGCCTGCCAACCAGAGCCTCAAGAGCACATTTTCTAGGAATGCGGCTCAGGAGATGCTAGCCGCTAAAGGCCACGAGTTGAGGGCCTTTCTGTGAAAGGCCAGTCGGTTAATAATTGAGGCTTTACGAGCCTTGAGGTTTCTGTTGCAAAGACGCTGCTCTTGGACTTCGACTCGTAGTAGAAGAATACAGTGCAAAAGTGGCCGGAAACGGTGTGTAAGTGAATGTGAATGTTGTGCCTGTAACGTTTTGTTTATAAAAGCAGCGAGCCTGGGTTTGGACCCCTGGCTGCAGTTCGCTAACCTGAGTCTTAGCCCTGTGGCTCCTCTGTGAGGAGGGGCTCCCGGCAGGGCTGTTGGTGGATAGGGATCGAAGCTCGGCTCAGGACTCTCTTCAGTCATCTCTCATGTGGACGGGAGGATTGGAAAATCGCCGCTGAAGCCTTTTTTTTTTTTTTTAAATTAACCAAAATGCATATGTAAAATGCCACCCTGGACGTGAGAGTATTTGTTTTGCCATTTGGTGGTTTTATTACAGGGTTCAGCTGCTGTGCTACAGCGTCGGTCAGAAAACGAGGAGTTTGTGGAAGTGGGAAGATTGGGGCCTTCTGACTATTTTGGTACGTGGCTTTCGTCGAAGTACAGAGTTCAGGTTCCCTCTCCGTGGGCTAACGCACTCTCTTAATTTTGTCTGTCTTCTGAATTTTCTTTTCGCACCGTAGTCTTTTTGGCTCTCCGGAGGGTGAGATTTTGACCTTTACCCGGTCAGGAGTCAAGTCACCGATGGTCTCCTGTCCGTTGGGTTCAGGTGCAGAGGTTGGGGGCCCCGTACTGACTTCTGAAGACCAGTAAACGCTGTCTTCTGGGGCTTCGGGGGGGACTCTGGCCTCCCCTGACCCTTGTCCCTCCTTCACAGGTGAGATCGCGCTCCTGATGAACCGGCCCCGCGCTGCCACGGTGGTCGCCCGCGGCCCCTTGAAGTGCGTGAAGCTGGACCGACCCCGATTTGAACGTGTCCTCGGCCCGTGCTCAGACATCCTCAAGCGAAACATCCAGCAGTACAACAGTTTTGTGTCGCTGTCTGTCTGAGACCTGCTGCCCGGGCCTCCTTGTCGCCCTGTCCCCGGTCCCGGTCTGTGCTTCCCTCGCGCAGACGGCTTTCCCCCTCCTGGCAGCACGGCGGCTTCTCGTCTGTTTCTATTAAAAGTCGCTTTTCTTGCACCGTTTTTCATTTGGAGCGTTGACCGAATATCCCTCTGCAGTTAAATAAATAGAAAGAGTCCCGTGGAGACCTTGCTGTTCCCGCTTCTCTCTGCGCAGTGTTGGGGCCCAGCCCGGGTGGCGCGGCTGCTTCCGGGCCAGGCCCCCCGCGCCACTGGGCTGCCATAGAGCAGTGGGGTGACGGTGCAGGGGCTTCTGTTTCTAAGTGACACGACCTTCCAGTCATATATTTTAGACTGTGGCCATATATGCTGTACTTCCTTATAGAATAAATGATTTCTCATTAAGCTCTGAGGATTAGGAAAAAACAGATCTAGAAAAATCTTAGTATAGTAGAAAGATACCTGCTTGTACTTCAGCTAGCTTAAGGGTGGGATGATGCCCATTTTTGCTAATTATCGGACGGACGCGATCTGTTGAGGTCTTTTTTTTTCTTTTAATCAGAATTTTTGTCAAGCTCATTTTCCTGGTTTTGTTTGTTCTTGCCGTTAGTGTTTCCCAGCTCTGACACGTGTTGATGTGGCTGTCTCCGCCTGCCTTTTGAGTTTGAAACCAGATCTAGGCTACAAATACTGAGTTACGGATTAACTACATCTGCCTCCGCTCAGAAATTCTGATTAGACCTTTATTTACCCAGCTAGTGCCAAATACCGATCACCAGATGCTGAATCGGGAGTAAGAATCAGAGGTCTCTTGGTCGTTAATGTAGAGCTTTTGGCTAAATGTACATCCTTCCGTTGACTCCCAGATACCACCTCCCCCCCCCCTCCAGGAGACTGAGTTTGCTGGGAATAGAACAGGTGGAACAGATGTCCTGCCAGGAAAATGGAGGTGATGTTGGTAAAGGGGGCAATGCCAGGGGGACACAGTTCGGTGTTGGGGACTCTGTCCCGCTAAACCCACTGGGGCAGGAGATTTGGGAAGAAGCGTTTACTTTGGTTTTCCCATTTTCCCTTCTTTTTACATCAAGTAGAATTTGGGGTGGGCTGGGGGGAGGCGTGCGCCTCTGTTCTTTCAGGTTGAGAAGTTCCGCTTTCTACTTAGCATTGATTTCTCTGGCAAACGGTTTTGATTTTCTAAAGTAAACTTGTGTCTTGAGTCTTAACTGTGTTTCAGCCCTTTCCAGCCTCCCCCTCCTCCTGTGCTCTGTTGTTCCACGTGCACCCGACGGTACCCAGCGGTTTATTTTTATTATTGTAATTTTTTTAAAACAAAGGTTCACAGTTCTGTAACGTCAGGCACTTTTCTTTTCATTGTGATTTATATATAACGTGCGGTTATATTTGGGAGTGACTGCAAGCATGTTTCCATCTGTGTGTGACTGGCTCTGATCATCAGTCCCCTCTCCTGCCCTTTCCCGGGGAACTCACATTGGTCATGGTGGGTTCGGTTCCTAGATTTGAACAGTTTTCAGGTTGTTACGAAGCTTGGAGTATAAATCTGGGAAAGCGGTTTAATTTACTTTTAGTGTGATAGAAAACCACCGTATTACAGTTTTTTATTTTTCAAAGTTACCTGTACTAAATGAGGGTTTTCTGATCTGTACTTTGTGTTTAGCTGCCTTTTCTATTTAAAAAAAAATGAAAAATAAAAGTTATGTTCTTACTAGCTTAAAGCTTGATTTAATCTTTGTTTAAATGCCAAAACTGTACTTAACTGAGTTATTTAGAATGCCATGAATTTGCACAAGTTTCATATATGTATATACTCATGTTCATGTATATTTAGATATATAGGATGCTTTCTAAATGAGTTTTGCTCTTAAATCATTTGGCTTGCTGTTTACTCCCTTTTGTAGTTTTTAATCTAAGGAATTTTAAGTCTAAATTGAAAATTGATCACATTTAAAGCTTTCTCTCTGTGCAGTCTAAGTATATGTGAGAAATCACAATTGGCATAATTTGTCTTAGTCGATATTCAGGGCTTTAGAAGTCATTATTTTTGGGCTTGGTTAAGTGAATTTAAGAGATCTACTGCTCTAGAAAGTATAGATGGCCAAAGGACCATTTTGTATTGTTTCCTGGTTACTAGTCTGGTTATACTGTGTGTGCTAATATACTCGATTCTTTTTTGTTATAGATTGTCCTAACAGTAGGTCAAGTAATAAAAAAAGATGAAATAATTTACATTCTTAAATGAATCGGTTTTTCTTTCCCTTCTCCTTTCCTTGTTGTCTTCTTCCCTCTCTCCCCCAGAAACTTTGAATCTGGTGGGCAAGAATGCAGATCAGAAGTGAATGATGGGGTTAGTGTTTTAAAAGAATAATGTTTGGTTTCAACCTTTTTCCAGTTCAGTTTGTTAAAGAATGAATCTAAAATCCTTACTCGAAGCATAATTGAGTTGTTAGCCAATCTGTTCACGGAGTAGTAGAAGGAAGAGATTAAATCAGAAACCAAAAGATCTCCTTTTTATTTGAGACACAGTGGTTCTCTGCTCTTGGAACTTCCCCAGAGCTCATGGGAATCGTCATTTCTGTATCAACGCGCTCTGTGGTTTAAATTCAATACGTGCATGTGGGTATTGAGGTTTGCCTCTATATATTTTGCAGTCATGAAGTCTTATTTCTGGTATTCCTCAGATATATGAGACGTACCAAGTTGTACTCATTAGTTTATTGGTATTAAGGTCTTCACATCCAGCAAGGTGGGAGATGTGTCACGTTCTTGAACATTCTTTAATGTGTGCCGCTTTGTAACGTGTGCACTCGGCCCTGATTTAGTAGCCCTTTCCCTCAGCCCCCTGGAGGGGGGCGGGACATGTAGAGTCACCGCGGAATGTCACTGAAGAGAACTTGCTTGGATTGACTGCGCTGACTCTGGTTTCGTTCTCCTTCTAGAACACTGGCTTGTATGGAATTGCTTTTTGTCTTTTAATGACTGGAATGTCGACATTTTATTTTATTTTTTAAGATTTTTTATAGTTTTATTTATTTTTGAGACAGACAGAGCATGAGTTGGGGAGGGGCAGAGAGAAAGGGAGACGCAGAATCCGAAACAGGCTCCAGGCTCTGAGCTGTCAGCACAGAGCCCAACGCGGGGCTCGAACCCACGAACCGTGAGATCCTGACCTGAGCCAAAGTTGGACGCTTAACCGACTGAGCCACACAGGCGCCCCTGAAATGTTGACATTTTAAAATTGAAGGACCATGATGCTCAGTTCCTAATACTGAGTTATCTCTGATCACAGATTAGTAACTGAATCCTTTTTTGGATTTTTGTCAGGCCCTGACACCGTGTTTCTAGATGGCTAAAACAACATTGAAAGGCAGTGGCCCCATTGCCATTGAAGGCTCCCTCTAAAGTCAGCTTTTCCTAACCACGACCAGTAAAAAGCAAGAAGCTTAGACCTTTCCCTTCTTAGCCTGTGGAACTTTCACATAGAGATCAGTATTGTTGTGTGTGTGTAATAGTAAAATTTGTTAACCTGAGTTCAGAGCTGTGACTTCATCCTGAGTCAACCTAAAATCCAAACCGCTAATGATTATAATTTTTTTCGTTTTGTGCCAAGTTCTGCCAATTTAGCTTCTGTACGTGTGTGATTCTCAAAGTTACCACTAGATGGAGAGGTGTTTTTTTTTTAAGTAATCATCTTGGTTCATCTCAAAAGAGTTACACAGTTGGTCCTTGTATTTTCGTGGTGTTGTGAATTCTGCAAATTTGCCTGCCTGCTAAAATGTATCTGTGACACCCCAGGTCAGAACGCAGAGCATTTTCCCTGCCACTCGAGGACACGGGCGGAGGGGCAAAGACTTTGAATCCACCAACTTGCGGGTGCCCTGCTGAGCTTGGTGCTCTGCCCTCTGGTTTGGCGCTCGCACGGTCATTGCTGGTCTGTTTCATGGCCTGTTTAGTGCTGCTCTGGTGGTTTTGTGCTTTCTGGTGGTGACTTCACTGTTCGAAACGGCCCCTCAGTGTAGCACTAAAGTGCTGGCTCGTGTCCCTAAGGGTGAGAAGCCTTCAAAGTGTGTCTGGCGGGGAAAGTAAGCGTATTAAGTCGTTTCTTTCAGGCACGAGTTTTACAGTGCTTTTGGCCACAAGTTCAGAGTTATAAACCAACAACGAACGCATAGTACGGGGTCTTTAACACATGAGATGAGATCATGTATTGATTTGTTTACAGAAATGTCCCTAGAGGCTCACGGGAACCTATGCGCCGTATTTCCTCTCGGAGCAGGTGGCTCAGCCTCCGCGAGTCTGGTGTCCTTGGAGATTTTAGAGACTGTAAAACTGCCACGAGTAAGAGACTGCACTTCTCCAGTCTTCAAACTCGGATGGCCCTCCTGACTTTTGGGCAGGCTTCTTCCAACCCCTTCCAACAGACTCCTTCCAACCCCTTCGTCTCCCAGTTGATGCAGCGCAGTGTCCTTCCGTCTTTTAGTCCGTTGTCAGTAGTGACATGAAAAGTTTTTACAGAGAGGGGAGACTTTGTGTTACGGGAAGGTGAACAGTGGCCCAGAATGGACATGTCGGGAGAGCCTGACCGTTTTAAGAAAGGAGTCTTTGTTTTTGGTTTTCTGGTATTGTTGACATTGATGGAGTCCTGCTCTCTGCATTAGTGAAAAAGTTAATGGAGCGTTGAAGTAAATAATTAGCTGTCTCCCTACTCTACGTATGGTGGTCAAACTCCTCCTTTCTGTTACTCTTAGTTTGTAAAAGACGCCACAGTTTATCCTAGGCCATTCTCAAACCGGCGCATTGCCCTCAGCGTGCCTGGGTTTGACATGGGGCTGCGGCCTGCCTTCCGTGGGCTCTGCGGCTCCGCGTCCCAGACCGTTCTGTGCTATTCTTGGACCATCTTTGCCTGAATATTTTTTCTGCCATGCTGTGTACAGTGACCTGGCCCCTCCGCCCAAAGGAAACACTGTGTTGAAGTGGGAGACGGTTCATGAAGTGGGGGGCCCTGAGCAGCCCTACAGTGGTGGACATCTCTGGGGTCAAGCTTCTTCTGCTAAGGGGGTTATTTTCTCCATAAACAAATAGAACTTCACAGCTTGAAGTACTGCTGGGCTTCTGTATCACAGTGGAAAGAACACTTAGGAGTTGGTTTAAATCATTAAGTGGTGTGATGTGAGTTAATCTCTTTGAGACTATATATTTTTTTCTGTGTACATTGAGGGTAAGGGATTCCCCCTGTACGTTCGGGGGTCTCGGAAACCTGTTTGTTGACTCTCGTAAGCCAGGCTCGGTGAATGTCACAGAGATACGGGCTTAGGGTGATGGATCAGCAACGGGTACCAGGTGGGTCAGAAAGACCCGTGTTACTGTCCAGTCTGGAGGGCTTGGGTCACCTTTCCAGTTCCTGACCTGGTACCCACTTCACTCACTGACGGCTTCTTTCAGGCCTCCCCCCCCCCCAATTCTACACTTGGAGCCTCTAACCTTTCTCCGAGAAGTTGGTGGGTGAGATCAGCCATGTTGACTGTTGACTGACTGATCAGTGCACAGTATGACTACATTCTTGTCATTTGGGTTTTCAGATCTGACTTCTGGAATGTGAGACAGAGCCTCCGATGGAAGGCATCTCCGATGTGGGCGAGTCAGTAGGGAGAAAGCCGAGGGGACGCGACCCCTATCTACCCGCTTCTAAGGGAGGCTTTGAAAGTCCACTTGAGTTGGTCCTTTTTTTATAACAAGCCGCTGAAGGGGGAGAGTGTGTCGTCTACAGCATCAGGCCTGTCCAGAGACCCCCCTGCCTCTTTTGGGGGCCGGGAGGGGGACAGCTCTGGGAAAGAGGATTGTGGGGGGCGGGGGGCCCTGGCTTTTCTCCTGGGGTGGTCCAGGTTCACGCACCTGCCGGGCCCGTGCCTGCGCTGTCCCACTTTTAGGACCCTGCTTTTCCCTTCCTTCACTAAAGTTCCCTCTCGTTGCCGGATGCTAATTTTGACATATTTGACAGTATTTCACTTGATATTTAAATACCCCTCACATTGAAAACATCCCCTTTCAGATATTCTGAGCAAATCCCTATGTTATTTTTACCTTTTGTAATAACGTTGGAGAAACCCTTTTGGACCAGTCAGTGAGGGACTATTGTATTCAGTTGGGCCACAGCGACTGGGACATAAATAGAAAGCGTTAGGTCTACTTTGAACCAGTTTGAGAGCTACCATTTTTAGATGTCTTTTGTCTGCTTGTGAGATGCCAGATATTTTATCTGGATCAGAAATGGCCCTTGTAGATGTTCTAAGAATCTGGAGGTCAGCTAGGTGTCCACTGGTGCCCTTTTATTCTACTCTTTTCCCGGGACAAGGCTTCCCAACCTTCCAAGCCCGACTCCTGTTCAGGTTTCCCGGTGGGCTCAGGACATGGTCTGTGGCCTTGATGAAGCAGTGACTTCTGGGAAAGAGGGAGCCAAGGAGGTCCCCTGGCAAAGCAGTGCACCGAGAAAGAAAGTTCAGCCGATCTCCCTTCTTTTGCTCTTGTAGAATCATCCGGGTGCCCTGCCGCCCGTGACCCAGCACCTCCCTGCTGACGGACGGGGATGCGAGGAATCGGGTCTGCGCCCCGAGTCCGCAGCCGGCTGGCAGGTGCAGCTCCTGAGGTGTGGCCCCATCCCGTCCCTAGCGTGTCAGGTGAGGCTGGCCAGGGTCTGGGGCTGACTCCCCTGCGGGGTCACTGGCTATGACACTCTGCTCTCCGTGGGCCTCGACACACCCCTGCACCGTCTGCAGGATGATCCGGAGCCTCCGGTCCAGGGCCAGGAGGTGGGGCTCAGTGAGAACGGGGCTGAGCTCATCTTCCAACAGAGACTCCCGCATCACGTCGCTGAGTCTGTAGTCGGCCTGGGCCAGCAGCTGCAGGTGCAAGAGCGTTTTCTTTTTTATCCTGGGAGGACAGAGTCAGAGGAGGCACGTAAGTAAGTGGGAAGAGAGGGGCTCGCCCCGACCGCGTTCCCCACAAGCAGCCGTGGAAGCTGATCCGGGAGCCGCCTTCTCCGGTGTCGTCTTCTCAAGCACATTTTAATGAAAACCAGGGAAAAGGAAATACGAGACATTTAATGGCATCTCAAGGAGATTGAAAGCCAACGAGAGAAGTTTCTGGGAGGTGAAACGGGGAAGATGCTGGGCATCTCAGAAACCCTAGGTACCTAGGTTGTTCCTTGCCAACTTTATACCATCTCTCTGTCAGGCCCTTCGAGGGTTGGAAATGGGGCGCAAGCAGTCTGGGCTTTAGGATTCTGATTTCTTCTGATGTGGGGCCCGAACTTGCTTTCAGATGTGTAAGCAGCTGAACCGTCCGACTGGCTTTGTCAACTGCCACTGCCTCGCCTGAGTAGGATGGGGAGGGATGGGGGCAGGCGCGCTTACATGAAACTGAGACGCAGATACAGAACGCGCTTTGCTCTGAGTTTTCCAGCTAGAAACGAAAGGGGCTTTTGCTAGGCGTGCGTCCCAGTATTTCTGGTTAGATCCGGATACCGGACCCCAGCCGGTGGGCCATTACGCCAGCCCGACTTGAGCACCGGAGAGGTATGGGAGTGGATGAGACAGTCTCTAGAGAATGGTGGCTGCACAAAGCCTAAATACCTCCTTTCAATCTATCATGAGTTTACGGGATTTTTTTTTTTTTTTAAGATTTTATTTTCAAGTACTCTCTACACCCAACGTGGGGCTCAAACCCACAACCCTGAGATCAAGAGTCGCGTGCTCTCCCCACTGAGCCAGCTGGGCGCCCCATGTTTATGGGATTTCAGTCAGGATCTTACTTAGACCTGTGACCAGGTAGTAGTATTTATGCGCTTCTACGAGGGCTGAGTGAAGCCGAGTTCTGATTAGTCCCGTCCAAGACTCTCAGGATCTGCTCGAGTGAGATCTCTGAGTGGGTTACCGATTTAAGTTGGCGATTGGAGGCTTTACACGACGAAGTCCTCATTCATTCTATGCTGGAAGGTGAAAGCCTGAGGCTGTTGCTGGGGAGAGAGTCCTATGGCTGTACAGGAAATGAGGTCACCCCGTCATCCTTCCCACCAGCGTCCTAGACACCGGGCCTTCAGAGCCTGACGAGTCACGACTGTGACCTGTCCCAGAGCTTCGGAAGCTTACCTGCAGCACTGCGACAGTGGCGACAGGATGGAGAGCTCATCCTGGGAGTGTCGTCCAAACCTGGAAGGGAAACGGGCTTTCAGGGCGGCCGCGGCCCCTCCTTCCTAAGGCCTCCTCTCTCCTCTCCTCTACCTCAGCCTTGTTTTGATGCCCAGCCTGGGGTAAAATGCCAGGGATCGTGGTGGCTTCCTCTCCAGCCGCCTCCTCAATCAACTCACAGAAGCCTCCGTCCAAAGGTGTGCATCCAACCTCCATCCATCCATCCATCCATCCATCCATCCATCCATCCATCCATCCATCCCCTAAGTACAGAAGACCAGGCACTGAGAATGAGCTGTGCGCTCTGCCTCTAGGACTGAACCATAGAGTAAAAAATAGGAAACATGTGAGTCCATTTCACTAACGCCCTCAGGTAAGAGGAGACCCAGCATCACTTAGTAAAGATGAGGAGGAAGGGGAAGAAGTGAGGCAAGGCGACCGGGAACGTGACAGGAAAGGACCTCCTGTTTGCCCCGCCCCGGGGCAGCCGCACCCCCGGGACACTTACCCTCTGGCATTGTCAAGGTGAATAAGGAACCCATCATCCCCAAATTTGGTGAACATCTCGTAGTGGTGACGGTCCATGTTTCCTGCAAAGGGGGACAGACGCTTCGGACCTCTGAACCCTCCCCTTTCCCCGGGCGGGCAGGCCAGTCCCCAGCCGAGTCAGGACCCTGAGCCCAGGGCCGCGGGCTGTTTCCCAGGGTCCTTAGTGAAGCCGTAGAGGGAGAAGGAAGCCAACCACGGCCAGCACACCCTCCGCTGGACTGTTTCCACCTATGCCTGCCTGCTGAGCCACGGCCTCTCCGGGGAGGGGGGCGTGTTAACTTCTGTCCTCCAGGACCTCGGCCACTTCCGAGGTTACTCGGTCCTTGCGATCCGGGCTATGACTCGCCACCCCAGGTCACAGCGACTCCCAGTCCAGCAGCAGAGGCTGCTGGCGCCCAGGGCCCGAGTGCGGCCACCTACCTATCAGGAAGTCGAAGATGGCCATGTCGATGATGTTGAGGAGGCGGCTGCTGCTGTTGTAAGGGTAGATCTGTTTCACGGTGTCGCAGTACAGCGGGTTGACCTCCCACCTGAGGGGGAGAAGAAGTCCTGGGGCCGGAAGAGCCAAGATGGCAAGGTGTTGGGGGGTCCTCCTTTCACCGCCCCCCGCCCCCTCAACCCCCTGCCTCCCGGATCCCACCCCGGGCTGCCGGCGCCTCCTGGGCATGCCAGTGGCAGCTGGGGACCCAGGAGGCCCCTGGGAGAAGGTGGTTCTGGGTCCTGAGCATCCATTCTGCTGGGCGCTCCAATCGCGGCTGGGATACCACGTGCCCGTCTGCAGCTCCCGTCATTCGGAGGCCCCCGGCAAGCCCCCCAATTCTCTCACTTCTCCCTCTCCCGTGCTCCCCTGCTAGACTGCCCCCTTGACCCTTTCCGTCTGCTATGCACCAACCCCGCCTTCACGAGTCCCCGAGGATCCTCCAGAAACCCTTCTCTGCTCACTTCTCCTCCCGCCGGGACCTGAGTGGCTGGACGGATGAACCCATGCACTCTGTCGGCTGCAGCCCTGTGATTTCAGGCTTCTCGTCTGACCGCCCCATTAGGCTGGGAGCTTCCCGAGGGGGGGGCCTGTGTCTTTCATTTCTGTACCCCAGGCACCCAGCACTGGGTACGCAGTAGGCTCTTGGTAACTGAATCCATGAACGAAAGGGGGAGAGCGGGCACAGCTGGCTCCCCAGTCCATAGAAGGCAGATGGCTGGGGACAGCTTTTGGGGCCCCAAAGCCAGGCTAGCTGCAAGGCCTTGGTACAGGGACTTGCAGCCACTGTCAGGGACAAGCCTGCGGGGCCGGGGGCCGGGCGCTGTGGCCAGGGGGCCAACTCACTCCTCTTTTCCCGCCAGCGAGTAGGAGCGGATCCAGGGGGTGGGCACAGACAGCCTGGGGGCCAGGTTGAGGGATGGCAGGAAGGCGGAGAGGGAGCCCTCCAGCAGGTGAGGGTTGCCACAGACGGCGTATTCAGTCTTGCACATGTACGGGCACTTGGCGAAGAAGCACACGTTGCTGGCTGGAGGCGGGGAGGAGAGAGAGAAGGAGTAAGTGAAGGAGGCAAGGCCATTTTTGAGCCCCCCCCCCTCCCCGCCCAATCCTCTAGGAGGGAAGGGAAACCCTGAGCTCACAGCATGGGAAAAGAAAATACTGCTTTTCTTCTTCCTTTTTTTTTTTTTTTTTAAGTTTATTTATTTTAAGAGAGAGAGAGACAGAGTCAGTGGGGGAGGGACAGAGGGAGAGAGAGAGAATCCCAAGCAGCCTCCACACTGTTAGCGCAGAGCCTGATGCCAGGCTCAAACCCACAAACCATGAGATCATGAACTGAGACGAAACCAAGAGTCAGACGTTTAACCGACTAAGCCTCCTAGGCGCCCCGTGAATGCTTTCAGGCTGAGGATCGTGGGTACCAATTTTCGACTTTCAAATGTCTCAGGGTAGAGGAAGCATGGGACCCAGCCTCACCGCATGCCATCCGTATGATTAGAATGTTCTTTGTTTGACTGGGTGACATCTGATGCCAGGGAGGCTGGCGTTGTAGTTCATGCCCACACAGGCTACTTGGCATCTCACATGCTACGTTTCCCCATCCCCTGTTCATCTTGTGCGATGCTCGGGCGCACCAGGGTGGGTGTGTCTGGGGGCAGCGTATACCCGTCCGGGTGGCAGGGACTGTGCCCCTGAAGGTCTACCATGCTCTTAGACCCCAAATCCTGCTCCGGCCAGTACTGCACCTGGCGAGACGAAGAAGACGCTCTGCAGGATTTCATTCTTGGTGACCTCTAGGATTTCCTTGGTGACATTGATTAGCCTCCCCACTGTGGGTGGCACTCGTCGGAAGTCCAGAATCCTGAAAGAGAGAAAACCTTGTTCCGGTCTGAGGGACGGACGGTGGGGGAGTGGCATGGTGGCCCATTGGCCGTTGACTGCCACTGCTGACCATGCCCAGCCAGGGGCGCTCTGGGAGACTGAGCTGACCGTGCCCAGGGAGAACCCTAAAGGGGTGGGAGAAGAGGTGGAAAAGGAATCCTTCTTCCAGCAAGCCCCGTGGGCAAGCCTTCCCACAATGCAAGCCGTGTCCTGGGTCAGAGCTCATAATTCCGTGTACATAGGAGTCACCTGGGACCTCGCTCACATGCAGGCTCTGACTCAGCGGGTCCAGGGTGAGCCTGAGATTCGGCATTTCTGAAAAGCTCCCGGGTGGTGCCCCTCCGGCTGCCAGTCCACAGAACACCCCTTGAGCGGCAACGACAGGCAAATAGGAAGGGAGGAACTTTAGGAACATGGCTTTCACCTTTTAACATCGTAACCGTAAGACTCCTGGGGCACATGGGGGTCAATGCCTTCTCCCCGTCTCCACATCAGGAAATTAGAGCAAAGGGCAAGGTCAGCTCCAAGGTGGCAGCCCGAGCCTCCTGGCAGGGTTAGTTTTCTTTCTAGGTCATTCTTCTCATTACGTTAGGGACCTTGTGTTTTTCAAGTGTGGAGTTGAACGAGGAAATGTGGGGTTCAAAGGCAACACTGAGGTTCACGAAGAAGACAGGGTGCCAGAAGGAAGAAATGCCAGGGGCGTCGCACCTGGGGGTCCGCCCAGCGCCCCTCTCTGGCGGTCGGTCCTTGAGGGCAACACCGGGTCCCCGGGGCCCGACCCTACCTGTCCAGGTGGAAAGCTGCGATCTCAGCATTGTGTCTCTGGAAGTCAATGAAGTAGAAGAAGTCGGCGGGTGTCTCTTCATCTCGCTGCTGTCTGGAAGGAAGGGACGAGTCACGCCCTGGACTCAGACTTGGGGGGCGGGAGCCTGAGAAGAGAGCTGAGAACATGACCAGAGGGAAAGGGAAACCTGCTTTCACGCTTTTAAGGTCCTTGCGCGTGACGAGCGGTACCCCACGGGCAGCCTGCGACTCCCTGGGCTGGGACAAGTCCTCCAGGATTTACCCCCCTCAACCCTCCCCCTACCGGGTCTCCTGATCGAGCAACTTTGGAGACAGCGGCTGATTGTTTTAAAAAGTAGTCGAGTCCAGGGGCATCTGGGTAACTCAGTTGGTTAAACATCCAACCTCGGCTCAGGTCATGATCTCAGGGTTCGTGGGTTCGAGCCCCGCATCGGGCTCTGTGCTGACAGCTGGGAGCCTGGAGCCTGTCTTCGGATTCTGTGTCTCCCTCTCTCTCTCTCTGCCCCTCGCCAAGTCATGCACGTGCACACACACATGCACTTTCTCTCTCTCTCTCAAAAATAAACATTTACAAAATTTTTTAAAAAAGTAATTGAGTCGGGAAGAAAGACCTCCGTCAGCAGGTCTGTGGCGGGCACAGACTCAGGCGGGCTAGGAGACAGGGCTTTATAACAGGGAAAGTGCCCTAGCATGTAGTTCAGTACAAGTGACATTGAAGAACGGAGAGGGTGCAGTCCAGGGTGACAGGGTGAGTAATGGAGCCTGTCCCCTCGGAGGTACCTCAGCTGGGTCCTGGAGTGAGCCCAGCCAGAGGCTTGAGGGACGCTGGTGCAGAGGAAACGGATTCGTGTACATTTTCCAATCGCTCATGGATTCCTGAAAAGCCACAGCCGGCCCGGGGGTGGCGGGCCGGCTGGGCGTGTGTGTTCAGAAAGGTGCCTCGCAGTCCTCATGGGCGGCGTGGGTGGCCTGCCTGGATGCTAACATCCCGGACAGTGACGATCTTTGAGCAACCTTGTCATCCACCGTGTGGGACTGCGAGAGAGCTGCAGCCCGCTCTGCATGGAAATCAACGCCACGCTGCAGAAAAGCTGCAAACACACAGCCCAGCAACTGAAACAGCGATGTGCACTTTGCCAAGAAACACACGTCCTAGAAACCACAGCGCGAGGCTGCCCAGGAGCAGGGATTCTATTTAAAAAGGTGCAGCCGCATTTAGCGGACTGGCCTTGGCACCCAGGCCTGCGTCACATGGCCTCACCGGTGTCGCCTCTGGACGTCTGGGCTGCAAGGACCGTCCGTGGGTCCCGGCCTTTGAATTTTAATTCCTGAAGAATATCCGGAAGTATCCATCCATCCATCCATCCATCCATCCATCCCTAAGATAACACAATCTTCTGACACCCTCTAGAATTTTCTAAAGCATCTCTTCCCCGTTTTTGTAGGGCATATCTAGATGTGATTTTTAACTTGAAAATCCTTATTTACCTTGGTGCTTCTCAGGCTTTGGCAAGCACTGACGTATTTCTCAGTATATATATATGTGTATATATATATATATAAATTATATATATGTGTATATATATAAATTTCATGTATTATATATTATAATTTATATATTATATATATTTCATGTAATTTTATATATTGCATGAAAAATAGAATCTTGAATTATGGTCATAATTTCAGTCACCCAAAGACAAATTTCCACTTTCCGGTTTTAAGAAGGGGCAAGTGTTTTTTTTACTGTACGTTACACGTAGAAATAAACGCATGCCTTTCCAAGGAACACATTTTTAAATGATGCTGTTTCAGTTTGGACTAACTTGTGTACAGATGCAGATTACATTTTGTGTTATGACATGAGAATAGACAAATTGGTGTTTACGACCCAGTGCTGGAAACTTTTGCATTATGCTCAGGGAGATACCCCGTTTGTTTGAACAGTCTTTGTATTCCATTTGTTAAGTGAGGGGGCCAGACGAGAGGTTGTAGGCTGCTACTTCCTGATCTCTCATGCACTAAAACTGTGGCCAAGGTGAGTGGTTTTCCTCCCGGTATAAAAAGTCACAGTGAACCTCATCTGCTCTATATGAGCTTTAAGTTTTAAAATCTCATCCTAATGTGCCTGGTAAGAATTCTGCTCAGAGAAGGCAACTCATGGATCTGATGGGGTGAGGGGAATTGCAGATTTATCATTGGTTTTTTTTAGTTTATTGAGAGAGAGAGAGAGAGAGAGGGAGAGAGAGAGAGAGAGGGCCTGAGTGGGAGGAGGGTCAGAGAGAGAGGGAGAGAGAGAATCCCAAGCGGACATGGTTTGATCTCACAAACCGCATGATCATGACCTGAGCCCAAATCAAGAGTTGGATGCTTAACCAACTGAGCTACCCAGATGGCTCAATTGACCATTGTTTTTATGCTTCTCTTTAATGTCTCGTGTTTCTACATCCACGTTCCTTCTGCCTCCTCTCTTTCACTGGTGCTCACCTATGAGTCTGCACTAACCCTGTATGACTAACCATAATAATCATTTGAAACCCTGTAATGCCCCGAACTTGGTGGCTCTGTGTTCAGCAGAGTGGTATGCCGAAGAATCACCTACCTTCTCCTGGAGCCTTGGCTAAACCAGCCAGGTGGGCTCACTGTGATCTCTCCCTTTAAAAAGGAACACAATTTTCCCCCCAGTATTTTGTGTGCTTGAATATAAGATGAGATCCTCTCCAAAAACTGTCCCTCAGAAAAGCGAACTCTGTATTTGAGTCCTTGCCTGTTCTCAAATGACAGAGACTTCTCTTCACTTCTTTTGTTGGGGACAGACTTGTTCAGCCATGATACTTTCATTCTGTGTTGGTTTTATTACCTGACAGAACTGGTTAAAACACACTGGTGGCAGTGATAGGTATAAGACTTAACATTCTTTTTTTTTTTTTTATATTTTTATTTATTTCTAGGAGACAGAGAGAGAGACAGCATGAGCAGGGGGGAGGGTCAGAGAGAGAGGGAGATACAGATTTTGAAATAGGCTCCAGGCTCTGAGCTGGCAGTCAGCACAGAGCCCGACGCGGGGCTCGAACCCATGAACCGCGAGATCATGACCTAAGCGAAAGTCGGACGCTCAACCGACTAAGCCACCCAGGCGCCCCAAGACTTAACATTCTTTTAACATTGGCCACCAACTTGACCCTGGTGACGATGATGATTGACATTAAGCATTTTGGATGAGTGATGGTTCACCTGGATGGCTCAGTTGGTTAAGCGTCTGACTCTTGATTTTTGGCTCAGGTCATGATCTCGTAGTTTGTGAGATCAAACCCCGTGTCGGGATCTGTGCTAGCAGTGTGGAGCCTGCTTGGGATTCTCTTTCTCTCTCTCTCTCTCTCTGCCCCTCCCCTGCCCCACTCTCTCTCTCTCTGTCTCTCAAAATAAATAAATAAATAAACTTACAAAAAATTTTTTGGATGAGTGAAAAGAAGAGTTTGGAAGGAACCCGCAAGATAGCTACAAATCTACATATTGTTTTATAGGACGGGATCTTTTCATCAATAAATTAAACATAGGCAGACATTCACTTGTTTCATGCACATCTCTGAGAAGTTATAGATCGAAATTGACCAAATAACTAGGTTTTTGGATCCTCACATGGGAACAATGGAGGCTCTCCTTAAGTAGCTGCAATTCCCAAGGTCGTCTGGCCTTGGGATCACAGAGGAAGCCCCCAGACCAATCCTTGTGGAGCCTCCAAGGGTGAGACTCAGGCATCAGGATTTTTTTTCATGTTTATTTTTGAGAAAGATGAGATCAGAGGATCTGAAGCAGGCTCTGCACTGACAGCAGCGGGCCTGATGTGGGGCTCGAACTCACGAACCATGAAATCATGATCTGAGCTGAAGTGAGACGTTCAACCGACCGAGCCACCCAGGCGCCCCAGGCATCGAGATGTTTTAAGGGTCCCCAAGGGATTCTAATATACAGCCAGTCTGTTCCAAAGCTCTCTTTAAAGGGGTGTTTCGCCAAAGCAATGCAGGTACTAGAACTAAGACTCTTTACTCCATTCTCATTCCCCTGGGCCCCCCATTGCACCACCTGCTGGACCTCCAGTAAGCCTCTCAGTTTCCAGAAGGTTTGGACTCTAATTTGGTCTCATTGGAGTCCCCTGGAAGACAATGCATTCTGGCAGAAAGCATGCCCTGGGTATGGGAACCCCTCTTTAGTCATTTCCTCTTGTGCATGTCATCTCCAGGAGGGACAGGCTCACCTCAAAAGTGTCCAGTCTTTGAGCTACAGACCCTGTGGGGCCGGGAGTCCATACACACACCAAGCTCTGTCTGTAGACTGACTATGGAGGATTTTGCCCACGTACATGTGTTATAGTATTTTAAAGACATGTATTTGCTGTTGTTGTGAATAAAACAGAAATTAATTTAAAGGTGTAATTGACTTCCTAGTACCCTTTCTTCATTGTCTAGTTTTTCAGTCACAACAAGTGTTGTTGTTATAAAGAGATCCATAGACTTTGTGAGGGTCCTGGGCCTAGGTGGTCAATTATAGAGATGTGGTGTGAATTTTGCAAGCTGGCAGCTGGCTGGGTTTGAATCTGGTTCTGCTGCCTGTAGCAGGAAGTTGGGAACAAGGTGTCCCCTCCGTGACAGTACCTGGCCCGCAAGACTATTGACGATCCAAGATGCAATCAGGAAAAGAATGTAGCCTAGATACTAGGAAAGATCTGATGAAGACTGGCCTTTACTGTTTTTTGTTTTTTTGTTTTTTTTAATATTTTGATGTTTTATTTATTTTTGAGAGAGAGAGAGTGAGTGAGCGAGCATGAGCAGGGGAGGGACAGAGAGAGAAGGAGGCACAGAATCCAAAGCAGGCTCCAGGCTCTGAGCTGTCAGCACACAGCCTGACACAGGGCTCGAACCCACGAACCATGAGATCATGACCTGAGCCAAAGTTGGATGCTCAACCGACCAAGCCTCCCAGGCGCCCCTGGCCTTTTCGGTTTTTAATTATTGCTAAAAATAGTTATATGCTTGGACAGACTGCCCCCAAAGAGAGTCTACAAAGGACTCGCTTGAAGATTTTAGACCACATTTATTAATTTTTGGTCAAAACTCCATTAACGGCTGCCGCAGTGGGGCATGGAGGTGAGGACGGCAGTCACTTACCTCATGGGTTTGAACATGGCCTTCCCGAAGTCTGAGAACCTCAGAACCAGCTTGAGGTGGACCCCACTGGGTTTCACAACTGTAAAGGGGGAGAAAGGGGAGTTAACAATCCCTCTGGGCCTAACCTCGGGGCTGTGAGCCTTTGTTCGTTCAAAAAACCCAGCTTGTTTCTTCTCTCTGCTCTTACTTAATAACATTTGCTTTCGAAGCCTTGCAGGGTACATTCTAGCATGTCAGGCCTTGGAGCGTGGGTCCAGGGGCTCATGATATTCCTTTTTCTGCTGCTCTGGGAACAGGGTAAACAGTGTGGGATTCCTCAGATAGATACTCACTGAAAACCCCAAAAAACCTTTTCCTAAGAAGAACTGGTGTCTTACTCTTTGTGCCTCCACACCGTCCTACAGATTCTGTCACCGGTGACATTGCATCAGGCTAGTTTATCTACATCTCTTTCCATTTAAGACTGCACACCTGGGTGAGACGGGGTCCAGGGAGTAAGACACCTGCGGGCACCTATGCCACCCTGCGCTGAGTGCTCCCTCCTGATATGTTGTGGAGCCCGGCACACACTTTGCCCCGTCCTGGCCTTGCTATAAACCCCGTGACGGTTGGGACAACGTCTTACGCACCTTTGTCTTCTATAAAATGACAAATGGCAGGTGCTAAGCTAAAGAGAAGGGAAGCTCCGGACCCTACAAACTTTCTTCCAAACCTTCGACACATTGTTGACGTGCACGGGAATTTCTGCGTTCAGTAGGTTGCGGGAAATGCATGAGGCTACTCATCACTGGCGGTAACTGGCCCGTGGGCGTCAGTGCCCGGCCCAGACCTGTCTACACCAAGGACTGGGGAGTCAAATGTCCAGGCACAACTGTACCCCCAATTCATAGCACCCTGGGGGGGGGTCTATCTCATGCTCATCTTTTTGATTCTATTCTTCATTACCCTAGTGGGTCTCGACTTTGGGTACATTAGAATCCCCTGGAAGGCTTCAAAATTCTCATGCCCGGAGATCACTCCCATGCAACTGAATTTAAGCCTCCTGAGGTGGAGGCCGGTCCTCAGTACTTTTTAAAGCCCTCCAGGTAACTCTAGTACAGGGCCAGCTTGAGAAGTACTGTCTACACAACTGCTTCTTAAATCTAAAAATGTCCCCTAGTCCCTTGAGCATGTTGTTAATTTCCAGATTCTGATTCAGAAAAGCAGAGTGGGAACTGACGTTTTGCATTCCTTGTTTATTTTTGTTTTTTTAACTAGGCTTCAGGCCCAGCGCAGAACCCAGCTGGGACTTGGACTCACAACCCTGAGGTCAAGGCCTGAGCTGAGATCGATAGTTGGGCACTTCACTGACTGAGCCACCCAGGCACCACGACATTTTGTGTTCCGAGCAAGCTCCTCGATGGTGTTGGTGACGCAGGGGCCGCGGGCTCACCAGCAGGGCCTTAGCAATAGTCCCTCTTAAAATCCCTTTTCTTTTGTGTGGGTGAGTGGGTGGGTGGGGGAAAATGTCGAGTTCTCAGAGATCAGGCAGAGAGGGTCACGCTCCCACTTCCGACCAGGAGTGGACTGTGGGCCCTTCACGTTGTTGCCAGATCTCGGGGTTCACGGGGCTGTGGAAGTGAGCGGGCTGGGCAGAGGTGGGGGGAGGCCACTTACTCTGGGTGCAATCACAAGCCCCAAGCAGGGCTTTCTCGTCCTGACTGTAATCTGCAAAGGAGGAAAAGGGCAGTGAGAACGTGCAGCCTCGCTCCTGGAAGAGCCCACCACTCGGGGCCCGTGACTGGTGTAGACCGAGGAGGCGGGGATGGTGAGGCAGCCCAGGGGCCCCTGCCCACTCAGTGAGGGACGACCCGGGACCCCAGCCAGTTGCAGCCTCAACCCTGTTCCATCCAGGTCCCCTGCCATCTAGCCCTTCAGAGGACACTCCACCAGCACCCGGTGAGTGACCGACACTGGTTTGGTCTCTGCTGGTAACTAGACTGTTCGAGGGCTTGAGAGCCCAGACCTGGGACAGCAGGACTGTGTTTGAATCCCAGCGCCACCACTGGGTCTTTGGCTAAGCTGATTAACCTCTTTGAGTCTCAGTTTCCCCCACCTGTAAAATGGCCATGATAAGGTCTATGTCATGTAGTCACTGCATAAAAGAGCGTCGCTAGGTTCCTAAGAAGCACTCGGAAAATGGTAGCAGCCGCCATTCCTTACGTGTGTGGAAGCACTTTATTGTGGCTCTCTGATGGGGTCGTGATGAGGTTATAATGACCAGAGCTCTTTCAAAGGGAAAAGATCAATGTCTAGGTTCTTCCACTTCTTACCCTCTTAGGCGTCAGAGCCAACCCATGCATACGTCACGCCAGAGCCCCGCCTGACACGGTTTACGCAGCCTCTGGGGGAGAGAGTCAGCGTGTCCCACCCGACCCTGTGAATCTCACTCACCAGCACTGATGGTGGGGGTGCGTCTCATGTCCTGGAGCAGCTGGCGGACCACAGGGCTGGACCGCGAGTACAGCCCGTGGCGGCTGATCCCCAGGTGGAACTGGACCCAGCTGGCGTCAGGTCGGAGCTGTAGTGGGGCGTCCGGGGACGTGAGGTTGAGCTGTTCTTGGTACATCTTGTGTCGCCTGCAAGAGCAGCGAGAGTTTTGTTTTGTTTCGGTCGGGGCTACAAGAAGACAGAGATTTGGGGAAGCATCTTTTCTATGCATTCCTTCCTTCATTCAGCAACAGTACTAAGTGCCTACTGTGTACTCAGCTTTTTGCTGTGCTTAGGATACCAAGGGGGCAAAACAGGTACAAGCCTTCCTTGCTCTCTGAGGGCTTACAATGTAGTGAGTGCAACAGGCACATGGTTACACGATGCCATTCACAGATACACAACTATCTAACTACAAACCATGACAGATACGGCAGAGAAAAAGACTAGATGGTTACGAGTAAAGTTAGGGGATCTAATCCTTTAACCGAGGATCTCAGAGAGGTAATCTGGGCCTCTCTTGTGCACTTTTCCATGGAAAAGTCTGTATATTTCCCACTTTTTTCTGACCTATGGAGAGAAGGAAATGAGTGTAGGGCAAGGATCCCTTAAGTAGAGCTGGAAGCGAAGTAGATTAAACAATAAGTCATATAGAAAAAGAAGAATTAATTAGCCATTTCCTGTTGTCCCACTCAGGAGCCTTTTCTACCAGGGGACCAAAAAACAAAAAAAACAAAAAACAAAAAACAAAAAAAACCCAAAGTGAAAACAAATGCCAGTGTCCTATAGAGGCTAAGAGTCTAGTTTGGGAGGCAAGTTGTATGTCTATGAAATCCTCAGGGCAAAATCTAATCAGGCAGTTATAAATTGACTGTTAGATATGTGGTTCAGACTACCCTCCCCTCAATATTTTGGAGAAGGGAAAGACTGGTCAGAGGAAGACAGCCGTGGAGGAAGGTGGGGTTCAGCTGGATCCTAACGAATGGGGGGTGTTTGGGTTGAATGGGGCATTACTAGGGTGCTCCTGGGTTGCAGACAGTATGAAAGTTAGGAGGCGCCAGCAGGGAACAGGTGCATCTAAAGGTTAGAGAAGCAGGTATTACTCAACAGATGGTTGAATAAAAAGATGGAAGCTTTCAGTTGGAAGGCAGAGCAAATTAGCCAGATGTCACCTGGTGAGGTGAAGCTGATTGTAAGGGAAGGTGGGATTTTGGGGTCACGGAATGGGGGTTCCTATACATCCATATTTCTTTCTTTTTTTTTTCAATGTTTTATTTATTTCTGAGAGAGAGAGAGGCAGCATGAGCAGGGGAGAGTCAGAGAGAGAGGGAGATACAGAATCCAAAGCAGGCTCCAGGCTCTGAGCTAGTTGTGAGCACAGAGCCCGATGTGGGGCTTGAACCCACGAACTGTGAGATAATGACCTGAGCTGAAGTCGGATGCTTAACCGACTGAGCCATCCAGGCGCCCCCATGTTTCTCAAACTGATACCATACCTCTGAGGTCTGTGTTGAGGTTGATGTGGGGTTGTTTTTTTTGTTTGTTTTTTGGGTTTTTTTTGTTTGTTTTTGCTATAATTTTTGATTTCTGAATTCTATCATTGTGAATTCTGTTAAGAATAAAGTATCTGGCAGTATAACTGAGTCAAGCCTGACTCATTGTTTTGTGAACATTTCATGACAAATGAATCCATTTTGATTTTGGAGTTTTCATTTTTGAGCCAATACATTTTCTTTGTTCAAGCCTTGCGGCATTTTAAAGGCCTTTGTGTATTTTAGGCACCGTGTCCACATTGCTAATGAACCCTGACTCACTGTCGTAGTCAGCTCAGAATGCCCAAAGAAAATACCACTGACCTTAACAAAATTCTACAGACCAGGTGTCTTAGCCAACAGATGTTGATTTCTTGTAGTTCTACAGGCTGGGAAGTCCAAGATCAAGGTACGGGCAGATTCAGTTCTTTTTTATTTATTTTTAATTAATTAATTAATAATTAATTTAGAGAGAACATGTAGGAGCAAGAGATGGGCAGAGAGAGAGGAAGAGAGGGAATCCCAAGCAGGCTCTGCACTGTCAGAGCAGAGCCCATCATGGGGCTCAATCTCATGGACTTTGAGATTGTGACCTGAGTAGAAATCAAGAGTCAGACACTTAACTGGCCGAGCCACCCAGGCGCCCCTAGATTTAGTTCCTGATGAGGGTGTTTACTTCCTGACTTGCAGATAGCTACCTTCTCACTGTGTCCTCACATGGAGAGAAAGGGAGCTACTAATCCCATCATGGGGCTCTACCTTCACGACCTCATCTAAACCCAATTATTTTACAAAGACCTCCTGCCCCCAAATACCATGACAGTGGAAGTTAGGGCTTTGACATATGAATTCAGTGGTGGATGTGGGTGAGTTGGGGGGACTCGTAAGCATTCAGTCCATAAAAATATGAGCTTTATTTCTCCACCCTTAACTCCTCTGTAGAGAACACTTACTTAACATGCAAGGGAGAGCGCACTCCCCATCTAAAGGGAACAGCTGCCATTAAGTTTCAGCTAACAGTAGTCATGTCTTGTCATTGCTCATTTATTTATTCATTCATCAAACATTTATTGACTGCTAGACACTGATCTACCTACCGGAGTTAGGGCTGTGTACAAAGCAAAGCCTTTGTTGTCATGAAACTTACATTTTCCTGGGAAATCATTTATTCTGAGTTTTCAAGGGAAGCTAAGAATCCAGGTTTTTTTCTTTTCTTTTTTTAGAGAGAGCGTGCACAAGTGAGTGGGGGAGAGGCAGAGAGAGAGGGAGAGAGAGGGACTCTTAAGCAGTTCCCGCACCGAAGTGGCGAGCCCGACCTGGATCTTTATCTATCTCACAACTCTGAGATCATGACCTGAGGCCGAAATCAAGAGTCCGACACTTAACCAATTGAGCCACCCAGGTGCCCTAGAAATCCAGATTCTGATCCCAACGTATAATCTTTTTAAAACATATTGGCTTAAATTTTGAAACAGCCTGTGTAGGCCGGGTATATATACAAAGGGAATGAAGCCAGTATCTTGAAGAGATACCTGCACTCCCATGTTCATGGTGGTATTATTCACAACAGACACACAAACAACATACATGTCCATCAATGGCTGACTAGACCAAACACGTGTGGTGTATCTACACAGTGGAATATAATTCAGCCTTAACAAAGAAGATCCTGCCCTTTGCAACATCGTGGATGAACCCAGAGGACACCGTGCTAAGTGAAATAAGCTGGACACCAGCCTCCAGATACTGCATGATCTCACTCATGTATGGAATTTTAAATAGTCCAACTCATCGCAGCAGAGGGTGGAATGGTGTTTGCCAGGGGCTGGGAGGAAGCAGCGATGGGGAGATGTTAGTCACAGAGTACGAAGTTTCCATTATGCAGGGTGAGAAGTTCTGCAGATTTAATATACAGTAGTGTTGCCACAGTTAGTAATACTCAAGTGTGTGCTTGGAATAGGCTGAGCATGTAGATTTTAAGTGTTCTCACTACACACACACACACACACACACACAGGGTGACTGTGTAAGGTGATGGATATGTTCATTAGCAGGATAGTGGTGAGTTATTTAACAATGTATCAAAGTATGAAGCTGTGCAACTTACAAACATAGACTGTCAATTACATTAAAGGTGGGACGACGCAATCACCAACACAACAACGTATCAACCCGTCTGAGTTCAGCAGGTGCGGATGTGATCTGAGTCAATGTAGGGGGATGATCTTAAGACACCCAGTCCCCCACCCCCATATCTGCGGGGAGGTCCACGATCAGAAGAGACAAGGCAAGGCAAGGGAACGCTCTATTGTTTTACTGCTTTGGTCTGCAAGAGCAGAAGGGACAGAGATGGCTGAGACGTCTTGCCTGAAGCCCGTGGCAGCCATCCAGCCTGGGTCGGGGGAAGATGGGAGCCACTGCTATCATTCTTTCCAATGACACATGTTTTATGATTTATGACAATCAGGGGAAAGGGCACATTGTTGACCAGGTCTGTAGGCTTCCCGCCAGTTTCTCCTTATGTTATTCACTTTTATTTTTATTTGAACGACTAGTCAGGCCAGACTCGCGTTCCCAAGTGGACACTGAGGCCAAAACGCAGTGGCCTGCTGGCCTCTCTGGGGCGTCTGGTGGAGAGATTGCACAGTCCCCCGGCTAAGCTAGTCACCCTGATCCAGCGCAGCGCCCGGAGCAAGTTGGGAGGAAGGAGCAGGTCTGGCCGAGCCGGGTCTGGGCGGCGGGCTGGAGAGGGAGGGGTGCTCCCAGCCAGTGGGTTCCAGCCACGGCAGCAGGCGGGAGGCAGAGTCCAGAGAAAGAAGAAACACATGTGGCAAACTGAGTGCAACTTCTGGACGGGGACAAATTGCTCTTTAAAGCACCCACATTTACTGCTAGGTGGGGACACTTGGCGCTTGGGTTTGATGTCCTGCCCTCGCCGGAGCCGTCACCACAGCACCCTGGAAAGAGTGGGGGGGGGGGGTTGGAAAGAAAGGCTGTCCTTCCTACTGCTTTTGTGTGTTTGGTTGTTTTTAATGATTAAAGTAGAGCTGCTCAGAGCAATTTCTTCCCTCCCTCCCTCCCTCCCTCCCTCCCTCCCTCCCTCCCTTCCTCCCTTCCTTCCTTCCTTCCTTCCTTCCTTCCTTCCTTCCTTCCTTCCTTCCTTCTTCCCTCTCTTCATGTTTATTTTTGAGAGTGAGAGACAGAGTGGAAGCAGGGGAGGGGCAGAGAGAGGCAGACACAGAATCTGAAACAGGCTCCAGGCTCTGAGCTGGCAGTCAGCACAGAGCCCGACGGGAGGCTCGAACCCACGAACTGTGAGATCATGACCTGAGCCGAAGTCGGACACTTAACCGACTGAGCCACCCAGGTGCCCCCAAGGGTAATTTATTTCCTGTCAGACTTTGCTGGTGTGCCCTTGGTTTCCTGGGGACAGCCAGCAGGGTGTACCAGCATCGGCTGGGACAGGCAGCTGGGCACTGGCAGTTGTGGGAGATTTGACACTATGGCAAATAGCAGATGTTACAATGCATGGTGTTTTGTTTTGTTTTTTTAAAGGCCAGCACTTTTGTTTTCTTCTTCTTCTTCTTCTTTTTTTTTTTTTTACAAATAGTTTATTG